AGTGTGGTTATTGTTGTCTATTTAGTTGAACACGGTGTTGAATGGACGTACAATAAATAAATAAAATAAAAAAGGCTGAAGAGAGGGCGCAAAATCGGATGCAAATGGTGGCTCACTGTATGCTAAGAATTTTTTTTTTCTGTGAGTAATCTTCTGGCTGATGCTCAGCTGAGTTGTGGCCAGAGCGCAGCAGCTGCGCTTTGGGTAGATTCTCGCGCCAGGCGCGCGTGCACCCTCGCCAGCTGGGAAGGTGTCATACGTATAAGTCAACCTCTTTGGACGTTTACCTGTCTAATGAGCCTCAAAAATCTAAATTTTTTGCTAAACATCCATAGGCTACCACTCGTGCCAGCGCATGGGTGTGGGGTGGGGATCCGTGGAGATGACAGCGCCTGCTGTAACGCGGGAGGAAAGGAGAGAGGAAAAAGTGGAGAACTTGATGCATTTTTATTTATTTATTGTATGTCCATTCAACACCGTGTTCAACTAAATAGACAACAATAACCACGCTTCAATATCTCATTCGTGAGATGTCTGTAAATTTCAGGTTATCTAACATAGATTACATAGTAGTTTGAGACTAATGATATGTTCTGAACAGTACAATGTCAGAGATGGGATTGTTTTTATTTCTTTATCTTCTCATTCAGACCATTTTTATGAAACTTTGGTCAAATTTGTCATTTTTCCTTGGAAATCTCTAACTTCAATTAGTTCAGACTCTAAATACACGAAAATAAATTACGTTACACATGCAAAGTAACCATAACCCTCTTGTTTCAGATGCCAGTGGAAGAACCGTCAGTGAGTTCGATGTCCCTTCACCCTTGTTTCATCTACCAGTTGACTTTTTTCATCCTGCTGCTGCAGCTCATTCAGAAAATCACGGAGAAGGTGTGAGACCAAGAGACAGGGGCTCATCCGGGCTGCCCTCCCCAGCATCCTGGGCCTCGCTCCGCTCACCAGGAGCAAACAGCAAGCCCCTTAGCTTCCAGGTACAGTAATCAGATAAATGTATCTATTTGTGTCTTGAGGTCTGAGTGGAGCTTCTGTAAATCAGAGTCACCCATGTGACCAAATCAGGACATATGGATGTCTGACATTGGAACGTCCTTTCTTTTGTGGCTACATATAGTACAAATCCATTAATCACTCCGATAAAAAATGATTTTATTTATKTTATTACAGCTGCAATAACAGGAATGCAATGTGTCTTTGCCACAGGAGTCCATGATTTTACAAAAAATAAACACTTTATGTGATTAGATGTAAACACAGCTCCTTGGTGGGTTTGTGACTCACAGTAAAAAGTTATTTGGAATATGATACATGTCACTTATTATCTGTTGATTTAGTTCTTGTATTTAAAACAATGTTTAACAAATGTTTAAGATCATAATTATGTTGAAACTCCATCCTAAAAYTAACACACACCCACACCYTTTTTGGTGGCTTCTGTATGAAACACACTGAAATATATTTAAAAACTAAAGATAAAATCTTTTTATTATTTTTTTATTTTTTTTTAGTTCTTGTTCTTTTTTTGTAACCATGGAAACATGTTTCTTTTCCCTGGTACCTGCTGGTTTGTTTAGCTCGTGCCTGAGTGCCTCTGTGATCCTCAGCTGCTACAGTAATGCTCTGCGGCACTCAGCTAATTAGCCTAGCCAGCCCGGAGCCTGATACTGACGCTGTGCACATTGTTGTTCTTGGCTCAGGCTCCTTACAGTCTCTCTTGTTGCTTTTTTCTCCTTTATTTGTCTCCCAGGTGACTTGTCTCTCCATGCATCTCGGTTATCTTTCATTCTCACTCCCCTTATTCTTATTTTGATTCAGGAACAGAAAGCTCCGACTCTAATTGAAAAATGCAACAAAAACTGTATTGATAGTTTGTTGAATTAACAGCTTCTACTTATKTAAACTTTGGCAACTTTTGCTCTACACAGGAACCACCAAAGGCCACATTACAGTGAATGGAATCAATTGAAAATACCATTCAATATTCAATCTGCAGGTTCAGATTGAACCTTTGCATGGCTGTTTCACATTAAACAGTTATACAGAGGCTGCCCTTTAACACATGCCCAAAAAATCAAGAAAAAAACTGATATCTTGTTACACAAATTTAATTATACCTCCACAAATCATCTATCTATAGTTGTGAAAACGTTTGCTCACTTACAACAATCTGTTTATGACATTATAATAAAACAACACGGTTATTTGAAAATTGACAAATTGTGTTTACAGCAGGTATAGTAGCCAYAGCCCTTGCAATGCAGCCTAGATACCTTAAGCAAGTATACTATACAAGTTCTGTTGAGACACTAGTGTAATGCAAAATTGACAAAGGTGGTGAGTTTTATAAGCATTTGCATGCACTTATTTGATAATTTTCAAATTGGAGTTGTTTCAAAACAGCAAAAATCCACTTTGGCCCTAGCACTGCTTGGACTATATTAATTCATCTTTCCAATTACTATTTCTATTCAAAGTGCTTTCCAAAACAAATAAATTATTATTCCACAGAACCGTGCATCCGTTTTCTTCTGCTTATCTGGGGTTGGGTCGCGGGGGCAGCAGCCTAAGCAGAGAGATCCAGACTTCCCTCTTCCCAGCCACTTGGGCCAGCTCATCCTGGGGAATCCCAAGGCGTTCCCAGGCCAGCTGAGAGACATAGTCCCTCCAGCGTGTCATGGGTCTTCCTCTGGACCTCCTCCCAGTGGGATGTGCCCAGAACACCTCACCAGAGAGGCATACAGGAGGCA